ATGGTTCTAACAGAACTAAAACTAGGGCTTATTGACTATTATTATTATTATTATATAGAATATTTATAATTGTAATTATATCACTTATCATGTAACTTAACATGTTCCGATTTAGGTAGGTATATGTTAAATACACACAACGGAAACAATTTGATTTTGTTTTTGGTATAACTTGGCTAAAACACACACTTACTGTTATAAAACTATAGCGTCATTAGTTTCTAAAAACCATGCTTAGCTCTATTTAGACAACAATATTAGGTACACAAATTTACGATCTTTTTCAAGTATCACACTTGTAAATATATAATCTACAAATAGAACGAATCCTTTAAAATACAATCTTGTGATTGAAGCATTAACCGTTCCTTAGTCTTCGCGCCAGCATTTCTACTGTCAGCGAATGATTAACGGGGGTGCGACTCGCTCGTTTTTTAGTTACATTGATTTCCTATTCTTGAAATTATCATAATTATTCTTTTAATTATTTTGGAGGAGATCAGGATGGTTTTTTCATAGACCTTTATCAGTTCAATCCGTTACTTTGAACGGTTGTTAACATAAACTTCGGATCATTCACGTTCGCAGACAAAATGCTTTCAAAAAATATAAATGTCAACGCAGACTTCTAAAAACTCTAGTTTTTTTTTTAAATCCATGGTAAAAACATGTTTCTGCTATGAGAGGTAATTAATTATTATTTTTAGGGTTCCGTACCTCAAAAGGTAAAAAAGGAACCCTTATAAGATCACTTTCTTGTCCGTCTGTCCTTTACAATTATTGCATATAAGTACATTATCTCTCACCTTTTTTCCTTCGGGCTAAACATAGTAAGAGGCTCACGTAACTTTTAATGACTCATCTATTCTTAAAAGAGGAAAATATGAATGCCTGCAATAAATCCTTTCATAAGCACTCCAGTACCGATACTCAGAAGTATCCCGCTACTTCTGACCTGCATATTATTATGTTTCTACATATATTAATGAATTCTTAAATCAATTACAAAATGAAGTGTCCAATGTGTAATCCGTGTACCTACTATCAGGCGATTAAATAAAATAAGCGAATAGTATTTTTAGAATGTTACTACTACCAACACAATAGGTAATATTTATATCTCGGCACCAAGTTTTAGTGAAATCTTTAAAAGAAAAAAAATGTAATAAAAGTATAATAACTAAACACAATGTTATCACTTAATAATTTAACATTCGCCATCTGGGTTTGTATAAAGAAACTAGTATGTGTTAACTGAAGGCTCCGTGAAGTGTAACCTAGTAACGCCATCTAGCGAAATTTCAAAGTAACGCTATGGCGTCTCTTTGTCTGACAATTGTATCAAAATATCAACTGAAAATGGCTTAGAAAGATACTTAGATACCTTTACTTTCACCCTGCCGCTAGAGTGATCTAAAAAAATATTTATAAAACTTTTCGCTTTTTAATACAGTTTAGTTACTATGGTTGGTTTATTTACAATGTAATAACAAAATATGAAAAATATGACAAAGATAGTTAGCTATTTATTATTAAAATTTTAAATGAGTTTCATGAATACGCACAAATATTATGTAGACAGTACACAAGATGTCAGTGTTATAAAGATTTTCCTTTCAATCTGTATGGTAATTTATTGTCGGTAGCAAAAGAAAAGTGTCCTCCGTAAATCGTGTCTGAAATTAAGGTCTACTATCGTGAGAAGTATTTCATTATAATAAATTTACATAGGTCTGGGTTGATATTACTTGGGGTTTGTAAAAAAGACTTAGTAACATTCAAACCAAATTTCAGATAAGTATGTCCAGATCAGAACTTTATATATGATTTGGGTACGGGTAAATCAAACCAAATCTTTATTGCATTGTGTGTACATAGTTGTTAATTAGGTACAAAATATAAATCTCAACATGAAGCCCTGTTAGGGCACAGCAGAAATGTTAAAAACTAAGTAGGTACAGATGATACATTATGATATTTTTCGTTTTTTACATGCTCATTGATAAAATAACAATTAATCTATTTTACTTTATCTTATGTCGTATAAATTATATAATTCTAACCAAAATATAAATCAAAGCTTGAAATGCATTAAAAAATTAACATTTGAAAAAATCTCTCAATTGTCATTTTATAAAATTATTTTACATTTTCCATAGAATACAATGTTTTATCACTAAAAAACTCCTGCAATGTATTGTAGCACTTTTGTAACAAGTATTTTTGCAATTTATTTTTAAATATGCGGTCACTTTTTAAATCCTTTAATGCCTGAGGTATCTTATTATAAATATTTATGGACATCACGTATAGGCCCGAGTGGAACATGGCACACACAAATTCGATGTAGGCAGTGCCAATCGGTTTCTGTGTTCAAGGTATTTAGTGATATATTTTTCCTGACATGGTTGTATATTTCAAAAATGTACAGCTAGAATACCCTGTTCTATGAAATGTGGTCTACAACTTTCTATGCTACCTATATTAGTAAGAATGCGTATGCATTTCTTTTGTAGTTTAAATAGTTTTGCCGCATTTACACTATTTCCCCACATTATGATGCCGTATCGAAGCCAAAAGTGGGCATACGCATAGTAGGCAGCTTTGCTTAATTTAATGTCTGTGGATTTCTTCAGTTCAGAAAGGGCGTAAATGAATGTGATTTCCAATTTACATAGATTTGAATCGATATTTATGCCTAGCAAATTAAAGTTATTTACGCAATCAAGTTTAATATATTGAATGTGTATTCCAAATTCAAAGAACGTTTTTGGTAGGGTTTGAATTACAACAATTTTGACTTTTAACGCAAGGTTTAGCTCCAAGTTATGTTCTGAGAGCCATGTCGACATCCCCAATGATATTCCATGAAAAAAGGTTTTTAAATCGTCTTCGCTAGTGCATGGAAATACCGCAGAAATGTCGTCGGCACACAGGACGCTGGCAGCATCTAACATTTTAGGTAAATCGTTAATATAAATCGAAAACAAGATACATCCGAGAACACTGCCTTGAGTAATTATTTTTTTTACTTTAGAAGTTTAGATTTCACATTCGATATTTCTCCAGTGTCGTAATTATAGTGCTCGATTTCAACGTAGGTATTGCGTTCGATTGTTAAGGTAAGACTTGAACCATTCTAGACTTATACCACGTATACCAATTCCATCCAATTTATTCAGTAAGATGTTATATTGAACCCGATCATATGCCTTGCTCATATCTAGGAGGATACCAATGGCGTATTTGCGCGTATTGCTTTTATTTTCTGAATGATCTGAATATTTTGGCAACGAAACAAAGGTGACACTTTATGTTTCATTATCAACAATTTATTTATTATTAACTACTTATAACAGTATACAGCAAATATGTTTTTTTACTACGCTATGAGCATAAAAGACATTCATAACGGCTAACAGCCGTCTCATTCTCAAAGAAGATGGTAAATAAAAATAAAAATTACTATTAAGTAACGGAGTTAAAGAAAATGGTCTTCTTTGAGGATTCGTTCTGTTATGGTGTAGCACATGCCATTTTCTAAGCGTGTGTTAAATTTATGAACATTTTTATGTGTGTTTGCAAACCCTGTGAAATAGTAAGTAATTTAAAACTCAAACTGAATTTAAAATTAGGTACACTTGAAATCGATAACCAGCAGTAAGACATTAAGTATATTTGTTTCTATTAAATAATATTTTTTCCCTCCAACGTAAACTCAAACGTGCCTACAAACGTGATGTCCAGTTAAATGACAATGACAATGTTAACCGTCTATGTAAGAGACGTTCTTACTAGTCTTAGGCACGTGAAGCTTTCATGCGAGGATATGGTGTTGGAGTTATTTATGTAAAATAGAGCAATTAATTGATCAATTAAAACGCAACAAAATGCCTTATATACAAGATTTACAATTATAGTTTTTTTTAAGTAATTTCAAGATAGTTGGTTTTATATGATTTAATTTCATGTCTTAAATTTGTATATTTCTAATGGCAGTAGGTACTTATATCAAAATCTGTGCCTCAATATATTCTTAGAATATAGTTTGAAAACCATTGTCACAGAAGTTACACACACAACAACCCTCTACTTTATTATACATGATAAATAAAAATCAATGTATGTGTATTTCTATTTACCGTTTATCAAATTATTATGAGATTTTATATACACGCCAGTGGTACAAAGAAGGATATGTGGTACATTTTATCCTTAAGTGCTATACTGCTAGACAAAGGCCCCTCCTTAGAAAGGAGGTTTTGGCCTACTTTATCTCACTGGTCAGACGGGTTTAATAGGGTTTGTTTCAAGTTTTCCTTCTCTTTGCAATGCTATTCTACTGCAAAGTTTGCTCCCTTAGTCGGCTCTTGCCATATTTATCAAGCAGCTGAGAATAGTCTCAAAAAGTAATACATTTATTTCTACAAAATCATCATCAACAGCTTTTAATAGTCTACTATTGAAAATAGGCATCTCCTCAGAAAGGAGGTTTTGGCGTACGTGGTTAGCGTGGTATAACGCTAACCAGACGGGTTAAAATAGGGTTTGTGTCAAGTCTTCCTTCTCTTTGCAGTGCTGTTGTCCTGCGTAGTTTGCTCTAGTAGTTTAAAATTACTTTAAAAATATTCAAGGCCAGAATTGCGACAGAATATGCTTTGTTACCCAGAACTAACTACTTAGTCTAGCCATAAATACTGCCTCAGCCTATAAGAGGCGCACTGGTCATAATTTAACTGATAACCTAAAAATGAATAAGTTGGTACAATCAAAACAACTTCTTAAGCGGTACACAAAGGGAGGTAACAGTTTTTTTTTTTTTGACGAGAATTTTCTTACTATTGATCAATATTATAACAATCAAGTAATGGTTTGGTTCGGTGTTAGTTATCAAGGAGTTACTGAGCCTATTTTTGTGAAAAAGGTGTCAAACATCGCCACAAGTGTATCAAGATACGATTCTTGAGAAGGTGATCAAGCCTTAACACCTTAATAACACCATGTTCGATAACCAAGAATGGTCCTTTCAGCAAGACTCAGTACCGGGTCATAAAGCTCGATCTACCCAAGCGTGGTTAGAAGCGAACATTCCTGACTTCATCTATGTATAAACTAACACACATTACAATATATAAAATATTATAATATTTAGGCAAGCAAGTCTAGGTGGGTGATTCATTTTACTTTTCTCTTTTTACTTATGCGTCATTACCCGCAACATAATAATCTTCGAAAAAATAAAATTATTAAAAAAATAAACTAGGCATATACATTTAAATTCTTGACATTTGCTTTAAATAAATATTTTAACAAAGAGTACTTTTACGGATGGAAATTGCATTCTAGTAGTTACTTAGATTCTGACTACTGAACCAGAGATCGTGGGTTCGATTTTCATCCAAATAAATATCTGATGGGCATTTTTTATATCTCCGGGTACACTTATAGTATGTAGAGTTTGTACTATGGTAGTAGAAAGCTAATAAACATAGTTTTAAATCCGTTATTTTTGCGTTAAAAAGAAACACAATAAACGCATTATCATTTAATATTACTTGACGCTAATTGATAGTCATCCTAAAAATATGATCTAATTTACAGCCTCAAAAGTTTATATACTAAAACCCTGACACAGCACATCACATCAATGTCATTGACAAATGGTTGTATGTGCCTGGCATCGCAAATGCATATTTTCGATGTTAGTAGGTGAAGGCCTAAATATACGAGTAGGTATATTATGTGCAAAAAACGAAAGAAGAAAGAAAAATGTGATTGAAAAATTCATGATTATATATAATCAATTTACTTACCAATAATAATTATTCACTAAAACTTTTTTTTTGCGAAACTAATAGAATTCTTAGTAGGCCGCCTACTACAGGATTCGTATGATTATGATATTTTTTTCGAAATATATAAGGGGTTAGGTTATATCTCAACGAGCTGGTAGACTTGTTATAAATAAAAAAGTATGGCTATTTCTTAAGAAAGAGAAGTGTTTATTTATACAAACTAACATTTATAAATGCTAATGTAGCGTTGTTGGTAGGCTTGTTATGCATTCATGCTCTAACTCTTAACCAATCATCATTATAAATATTATACACGTTCCCATGGGTACATAAAAGAAAATAGAGTGCCTTGCGGTACCTCAAGGTTCGCATAGCCACGTTGCTGACGAAAGGAGAATTAAAAAGTAATAAGTTATAAAAGTAAACAAAAAGCTAATATAAAAATAACACATAATATCACACTATTGATAGCCTCGAATTTATAATGACTCATCACATTAATGACCTTCTACGATGCATTGATATTGTGTTGGAACTCCGAATGAGATTTGATGATAAAAGCTGTTTGAAAATCAATGAGGTTTAGCAATACGAGTTTGACTTATGACTACGCAGCCGTTGCAGCGCTTACTTATGAACAATATTCTTTGCCGAGCAATATATCCTTCTATTTTTTATTCTCAAATAAATTATGTTGTATTATCTTTTTTATGTAAAATGCTAATAAATTAATATATAAATATTAATGTAATATATATATTAATAGACTGTTATTTATATTAGTTTCATTTTGAAAGTGAAAGTAAATATATTTATAATATGAGATATAATATCAAAAGATACTACACAAAAACTAAAAAATATTACGCATTCATTATCCATATAATTATTAATAATTGACCATAACTTTGTTTTTCGTTTTTCGATTGTACCATAATACTCGTATTAGTAATGATATAGCACATGGTGGAATAAGTTTTAAAACAGAAATACATAAATATTTATTTGACATGAGTAACCTAATATAATTTTCTTTTATTTCCAAAGATTATTTTATTATGTAATTATGAATTTCATGAACTAAAGTTTAAGAGTAAATTTGTGGGTTAAGTGTAAAGCACATTGTATCTAAAAATTCTAGAAATATAATGATTACATAACCTTTACAATATTCCGCTTTTTGTTAAACAAATTATTACCGCGCTGAAACCGCTTTGATGTGAGTGTGCGGGGGCGAACAAGCGACGGTAGCGCCGCTGAAACAGTTCAGTTTCAGGCGTAAACCACGTCGTGCGCTTGTGCCTCAACTGCACTCAAAACACCACCCACTGTGTAGCAAACCCACGTGATGAGACTAACACACTGTGCTATTGTTTTTCATACTTAGAGCTTCACAAAAACAAAACGTAAGTCCACTTTTTCTTACAACGTATTTGGCAATTACTATCGTTCAATGAAATTTTATATTTAATTTTCCTTTTCCTAATTTTATCTTGCCAAGTATCCAAGAATCATATAATTTAATGAATAAGACGAGTTCAACAGGAAAATAACATTATATTTTCATAAGGAAAATTATAACAACTTTACAGACTAAAATATTGATACATTATCTCATGCAAAACGTTTGAGTTTCATGTTAACAGAAAGTTATACCTACTAGATATATTTATTAAAAAGTATTAGCTTACGTTGCACGATTTTAAAACTATTTAATAACACGAAAAGCTTCACAAGGGAATTGATAGCTCCCCTAAACCGCGTTATAGTAAGTCTTATTTCGTAAACTCGATTTTCAGGATATTCTAACTTTACTATAGTTTTCGTACAAACGTAAACATGTTATCAACATTCACTTTATCTTAAATTACATTAGTCTGTACAAATATGATGCTTGAACTAATAACAAAAAACAATGCTTTAACCAAATATTGCAACAGTGATAAGATATATTTTTTCTACATTTTCACAAGATATTTGTTATGTTTTTATGTAAAGGAGACAGAAAGTGGCAAGTATTATGAACTATCTAGTAACAAGACTCTGATCAGTAACATTAACGATATATAAATACATACATATATGATATATATACATTCCCAAGGACGTTTGGCGGCAGGCAGGCGGCCGGCCTTGAGTCTTGAGTTCTTTTCAGAATACTAATTCTATTAAGTGTTGTACTTGATTATTTCTTAAACTTATAATCGCTTTTTCGCACTTACTTATTGTAAACTGTTTTCTATTCGTGAAGACCTGTTAATGGCTGAATGTAAGCTTAACACTATTAAATCAATTTGTAAAGCTGTTGGTGTTCCAAGATCAAATAAATAAATAAATGTCGAGTGATAGAGTAGAAAGTAAGAAGGGTACTCATTGCGCAGACCCCAAATGAAATGAAATTAGGGACAAGGGTAAGAAATAATATTTATTTAATAAAAAAAATCGTACATCTAACACACAACGCCATCTAGTTTCAAACTAGGCATGATGAAAACCACGATATCAGTTGTTCAATCCGCGGCTTCACCATAAGACATAGTTATTATAACCCACGGCTATTTACGGTTGGCTGCTGGCGACCTTTATCAATTGCCATTAACTGTAATTAATGTAATAGTATCAAATAATATCATTACAAGTAATTACTTGTAATGATATTATTTGATACTAAAAATGCCAGCCAGATTCATCTAAGGGTAGCTCAATTGAGCTACCCTAAGATGAATCATGCTGGCATTTTTATCCACTCTTGGTACTCAGAAGCTATAATACGATCTAAATATTAAACCCTAACATTTCCCAGATAATTATTAAGCTAAAAGTAAATAACTTAATAACCTAATACGTAAACTAATAGCTCATAAAATGTTTATTGGTAAACTGACTAGTTTTACCATTTATGAACACTGATGCGGTTAATATTGTTATGAAATTAACCACATACTACTCCAAAGGTCTCCCATATGAATGGTCTCGCGCCGTCTTCGTCTACAGGCTACGTTACACTTTGATCAGGACATCTCTATCAAATGGGGAATAAAAAACTGGAATGGACTTCTCAATGCTGAAATGATGTTGATATGGTTGTTGTTTTCAGAAAAAAAAAAGGTTTGCAGTGCCTGAATACTACAATAATAGCATACCAAAAAGTATCGGTTAATTAAAAACTATCAACAAATTCAGTGAAAATAAAAATAAGCCTATAAATCAAACACCTATTTAACCCGCGATGTAATATATAAAATTCAAAGTGTCATGTTGTTGTTAAGAAAAGTCAAATACATAATATGTATTTTCGTTTCAAAAAACAACAGTTTATGGATTATTTTAGATAAGGAAAGAGAAGTGTAAAGTCTCATATGGAGTATCGCAAACAGTGCAATATTCAAAATCGTAACATCGATTACATGGGTAGGATATGGCCGTTAGCCAATGCAGTGTTTTAGTTGCACTGCAATTGCACTAAAATTGAAAAAGAAGTACCTATCTATTTATCATTCTGTCAATCTTTTAATCATCAATATTAAATGTGATTTTGGATAAACAATTTTTGTTTAGTAAGTATTTGGCATATTAAATTGTTTAAAACAATTAGTATTCAGTAAAACTTCTGAATTAATGTTGCGCCTTGCATATCTACTGGATTTTTTTGAACGTAATGAGAGATTCTGATAGTTTGGTGATGCTATTTAATTAATAAAATTAAAAAGCTTGCGTCCAAACATAGCTTGAGGCCAATGACCTACCCACAGGTACATCTTGCCCTAAGCGATGCTGCAATTAATACGTCTAGACAGGTATAAACTACCAATAGAACGTAGAACATCAGAAACGTAGGTACGACGTTATATATTATATTATTATGTTCTAATAATATGCGCTATTGAGCTGATATAAAAACTGATATTGGCTCTCAGTGTTAATAACACTTATTGTGCGGCGGGCTTGGCACCGACTTAAAGCAGACCATAAGATCGTCATCCTACGAGCCTTTTTCCCAAACTTCAGTCCATTTATTTTAATATTAATTTAAAAAATATTATTGAATTTCATTAATTTCAAAAAATAATTTTGAAGCAATTTGAAATTTCTGTAGAATAATATTTATAATGTAAAAAGGTCATTTCATTTCAGTAAAATTTATTTAGAACCTGAGCCTAATTAGAAATGTCTGACATGAGTGCGAGAGAGTTCGCTATTGGTAAGTTGAAGTGTGATGTGAAACAGATCGAATATCACCGGTCGGCGCAGTTGAAGCCCACGTATTTTGCGACATGTGTGCAGCTGTAGGAAAAAAATAATTCAAAATGGTAAAAACATTTTTTGAACCAAAAAACTAACTTAAAACATAACACATCACATTCACAATAAATATTAATGTATCATCTCTACGAAGACATAGTTAAAGTTATGCGTTAATCAATAATTATTCATTAATCAATAACAATGTACCTATTAAAAAAAATCTCAAATTTTATGCTCAAAGACGATTCTGACTATAAACTTTCGGAGATATGATGGTTCTACTTTTTAATTATTATGGTTATGAAGTTTATGCTTAAAGATGATTATGACTTACAAATTTATGAGTTTTGAATCTATGATAAATGAGTGACTGCCAAACAATTTTCTGCGAAAAGCAGTTTATGCTATCCGTTGTTATGCAAAATAATATTATGACATAAAAAGTTCTGCTATAAAGGGTAGACACCTTTTGGATTCCCCGCACTCATATCCTTTAATTTTCTACTTTATGTAGACTTTCTGCATAAGTATCTTGTAGAAAAAAATGCTAATTAAGTTTTGCAACAAATATTTTCATAACATTTGTTTCAAAACTTAATTTGTATTTTTTTAAAGGCAAAGTTTTAAGGAAAAAAAGTTAAAGAGGTACATTAAAATAAATATTAAAACCTATTATTCTACCTACCATTTATCTATATTTTTTTCTGTCAAGCTTGAATTTATTTTTTCACAAATAATAAACGACAGGAATATACGTTTTAAAGTGTCACCGAATTCATGTCATGTCAAGAATGGTATAACAGTATAGTAATGTTACAAAGAGAGGGTTACCCAACTCTCTCTTTGTGACATTACTCGTACATACATACATTCATTGTAAATCAAACATAACATACCTACCAGTATGAATAAAATAAATCATTATGAAAATCTCTTTTTAATGAAATGAAATGTCATTTATAATAATACTCGTATATCCTAATCTAATGATTGCTTGGGGATTTAAGCTACTTTAAAACAAAAAAGCGAGCTCGAAACCAGCTTTGTATAATATATAATATAATAATAATATAATAATATATCTCACACACTCACACACGGCCGTCTGATCCCAAACTAGGCAGAGCCTGTACTATGGTAACCAGACTGCTGATAAACATACTTATATATTTCTAAATACATACATATTATAGATAAATTACACCCAGACACAGAACAGTAAGTGTATCTTTAAAATATAGTTTAAATATCTAAGAATATAAGGATAATTATGTTGTGGAAGCCTCATATTGAGTGGAATAATAAAGCACTATCCAAAATATTGCATATTTAATACTGTATATTAAAAATATCCCATTTTAAATATGTGTCATAAAAGGAGCTCAAGGATTTGTTTTAAGAGGTATACGGGTACTAGCATTGGCCTACTTAATAGCTAGACGTTGCATAGATATCGACTCTCTCTCTGGCGTTTTCATTGGGTTAACTTAAAAGTTTAAATTTCCAGTTTTAAAGGACTGAAGATAAATGTACTTGGATGTAATTTAGACTGATACCTCCTTGCGCTTATGAGTCATAAGATTATTAACAGACAGATAGCTAGACATAAAAAGACATAAGAAGGACTGTTGATTCTGCTTCAGAAAGCCTTTTAGGATAACCTAAAAGGATTCTTTCTTTATTTTTTACGAATGGAACCCTAACCGCAATAGGTAACGTTGCTTAATTTAAAAAAAAAACAACAAATCAAATTCATACGACGGTTTCTTTCGCTTTTTCGTCAAATACTACCAGAGAAGCAAACTTTACTTTTTCGATATTAAAAAAACAGTCCACTGATGACAGAATGATCAACCGGTGATTATAGTCAAAAAAATACATAAAGCTGAATGTAAAACTTTCTCATTTATACAACGTGATGTTGTAAAAAGAAGGTAATGTACGTAATAGAATAAAATGAAAGTAAACGATGCAGAGAACCTAAGTATATCAAAAGATCATGAGAAAGATATGAACTTATGCAGAAAGTCTACATAAAGTAGAAAATTAAAGGACATGAGTGCGGGGAATGTTTTATAGCAGAACTTTTTATATCATAATATTATTTTGCATAACAACGGATAGCATAAACTTCATTTCGCAGAAAATTGTTTGGCAGTCA